TGTGTGATTCATTAAAATCTTTATCTTACCCATAAAGCTCGCCCTCGCTTCCTAAATAAACCCCAGCAGTGATTTGGCCCGCATGGCTCACAGCCTGTTACTCACAAGCGCGTAAGAGGAAGAGGGTTTGTTTGGGTTCCTCTGAGTACTTTTGCTTTTGGTGCGAAGGGTTTGTTTGCAAAATTCCCTTGAAGAGTCCCTAAAAACTGAAAGTGAAATAGAGAGTCACGGTTGGTTCACCGTGGCGTAATTCAGAAGAACGGAATATGAAGCGCTCGTTCAGCGTCACAGAAAGTTATCAACAATCCTGTAAATCAGTCAGGTGTTTTCCTGACTTTTATTTTTTTTAAGTTTCTATGCAGTCTTCAAATTTGAAAATAAAAGGTTTCTCTTAAGAACTGACCCATGACGGGTCATGTATCATGTATAAATCATGATTTTCATCTATTTTTGATTTTTGTTAAACACAAAAATAGCTTGACTGAATCCTTACATTTCCTGATGTTTTTGTTTTTAAGCCACTAGTGATGTTTGACAGACGGGCAGAGAGAGAGAGAATGTATTATGGATCATTTCATAATTTCATAATCACAAAGTGGTACAAAAATTGTTTTCAAGTTCTTTGCAAAGTCTGAAGAGTTGAGATATGTATTCCACCCCTTTACTCTGATAACCCTTAATAAAATCTAGTACTAGATCCGTCATGATAAATTTTGCTGGACAAGAAATTATTGTGATAAACAATAATATTGACATTTTGAAACCATTTTCAGTTAATAATAATAATGACGACATATTGATCCAAGTACACTCCATCAAAGCTGAAAACTCCCTTGTTTAACACTGGAACTGGAAAGCATTTAAAAATATCCAAAACAACCAAAACAAAAATTAAAATGGATTATGACGTCTTGGTAACCAAAACTGCATTTCAGGCAAAAGTGGCACAGAGTGCGAACTAGCTACTTTGTAGTGGGCATCAAATCTTTCTCAAAATGGCGGCTTTTTAACAATATTAGAGGGAAGCATCTTCTTAATAACTGTTGTCCAAGTGAAAATGATCGAGTTCATTTTAATTTATTATGTGACTCATTGATTTATTAATAATTGTGATTGGCTTGTGTAGTAGTAGTACAACCAAATTGACTTCAGAAATCACTCAATAACACTGTCCCACTAAAAACTAACAAAAGTAAAACAAACGATGTTAAAACCGGCTTTACTGTCGTCGTGTGTAGCTTTGGCTACGAGAGCAGACGGCCTGTAAAGCAGCTCAGTAAGAAACAAACTACTCACAGCTACTCTAAAACAGGAAATGCAACTTGTCAGTGACTAATGGTGTGAATTGCTTTGATTGGTCATTACCGGAATAAATTAGAGGTTGCTTGCAAACAGAATGCTGTTCCTCTCATGGCAGCATACGTAAACTTCCTAAAAAAACAACAAAAAAGGAAGCTTTCAGTTCACCCTGAGGCAGAACTGTGTTCGAAAATACCTTTTGTTCGCCTTACTGGTCCACGCTGCCCCTCAGGGTGCAGCGTAAGACAAAGGAGAAGCCACAGAGCTCACGTAAACTTCGAGTCGCTTTCTGGTCGACTTAAAGCAGGCAGTCAACCATCCCGAATGTCTTTGTGATCTGACGAACCCTACAGGTGTGCAACTAAAAAGCTGCATGGGAACACACCCACACCCAGCCACTATGTACATAAACAGAGAGCCCTATAAGTCTTTGGTTATGTTTAGTGTTTAACCCCATTAATACCATGTAGACTAATGAATTTCCCACCTCGTTTTTAATCGATTTTCATTACTACGTCATGGTAAGACCTTGACACTTTCCATCCCGATTCTCCGAGGAGTTCACGGTACTTCCCTAATGAGCTGCTCTTGAAACGCACAGAAATTTCCCTGCACATGTGATAAGACTCGGTCAATGATTCACAGATCTGGCACTGAGACAGACAGCCACACAAGTGCAGACTCACGTGACTGGATTCAGCATTGTTTAAAAAAAAAAAAAAAAAAAAAAAAAAAAAATACAGGTGTGAGCTTTCTTCCACAAAGAGAAAGGAAGCAGCATCGCCGAGTGCAGCTTAGAGACTTTCATAAACACTAAGCTGTCAGGAAGCTATTCTGAACGCATTTAGTCATAACCTAAAACAAAAATAAAGGACAGTCCTGTTTCCACACAGGGCAGCATTGTTTTCTAAAAAAGGTCAGATATTAATGTTTTATTTCCACTGCGCTACAAGAAACGGGAACAAGTTGAGACATGTCCGAAATAGCTCAAAAGTTAATACAGAGAAGAAGAAAAACATTGAGGAAACAGCTCCTTTTTTTTTTTTTTTCCAAGCAAACATTCGATGACCAGAAGTAGAAAACAACCGGCTCATCTCAAACCTTCTCCGAAGCCTCAATTTCAGCCATTTTGGGCCTACGCATTCCACCCTCTGTGGGTGTTTTGTGGTTTCCAATTACCTGCTGAGAGACGGAGGGTGGTGAGCCTGTGAAGGACCATATGGTTAATTAGGGTATCAATCCTGTCGGCTAAAGGCTCCTCGGCTTTCTGTGTTGGAATACAGCTGGCTATTGTTTTAAAGGAGAGACAGAAAAAGGTTCTGGGAAAGGTTGAGTCACGGGGGGTTGAGGGCGGCAGTGTGGGACCCCAGAGTGAAAACTCTCTCCGTAGCAATGTGCTGGCAAGTTAACTCATACCTCTAGGACTCTTTTCACATTTTATCACATTACAAACCACAAACCTCAATGTGTTTTAATGGGATTTGATGGGAAATCAAGTAGGTCATAATTTTAAAGTGAAAGAAAATCATACATTGTCTTCAATCATTTCGCAAATGATCTGAAAAGTGTGGCACTGATTGGTTACTTTGGACTTTAAAATGTGAATATAGAGTCCATATTTTTAGAAGCAGACCTCAGAACAATTTGATTGGCTGCTTTTCCCCATGAGCCCGCCCCCAGCTACCAATGAAAGCGGCTCTGTCCTCTGGCTCAGCAGGGAGCCAGGGATTGGATAGCTCCAGTTTTCAGTGAGTTTTGTCTCAGTAGCAACACAACAAACTGGTGCTTAGCAAGAGCTAGCATGACTATGGGTCCATTTTTGGATGATTGACTGAACCGTTCAAAGCTGGCGATGTTGTTTTGCCCTACCGCCTCCACCAATGCCACCCATCAGCCAGAGATTACCATTTAACTCCTCAACCATCTTTCTGCAGCACCCAAATAAAATACAAAGCAGATCCAAGCTGCCAGCCAGTAAGAAGAAGAAAGTAATCCATTTTCAAAGACAAAACCTCTGAAAACTTTTCAGGGTTAGCCTTGCTCATAAGCAGCAGGAATGTGGTGGCTCTGTTTGTTATTAACCACCACAACATTCTCTCACATGCCTCTCATGCATGCACATTAGAGGGGTTACAGCGTTCTATGGCCTGGAGCCTGGATTTGTTTAAGGAAAACGAAATGAGCAGTGCGTTTGAGCCGAGCCGGGCCGAGCGCTGGTCAGCACACAGAGGGACACTGAGATAGCCCCGGTGGCCGTGCGCCAGGCGAAACAGAAGTGGTATGTCTGGTATTTGACTTGGACAGGGAAAGATGCGGTCTAGATGAAGCCGCAACGGCGAACGCATGACGGGGTCTCTGAATGACTTACTGTTAGGGCTCGTTCTGCACCAGTAACCCAAGCGCAAGGGGGGAAATGATGTGCTCGCTAATATAGCGCACGGATTCCCCCCCCCCCCATTTGGTAGCGATTTGCTCAAACGGCCGGGCACGGTTCACAGGCGATCGTATGGAAACTCGGGATGTATGGAATGCGCAGATAAGTGAAAAAGAAAACAAGAAAGCAGTCTGAGTCTGGCCCAGATGGTCAAAAGTCAACGCAATCTTGCAAATTCTCACAACAGAAGCATTTGAGAGTCTTTACAAGCAGCGGTGACATATGCTCCGATCGGTATCGCGTTTCCTCAACGGTCCTCTGGTAATACGAGCCTCTAATGATCAAACCAAATCTCAGCAGAAGTTCCTAAAGCAGAGGTGGTGAACTCATTTTCATTTTGGGCCACATCAGGATCATGAGTGTCCTCAAAGGGCCGGTTGTGACAGAATCTATTGATAAAACCCATAAATGTCAATAAACAACTGCCTCTGCATTTAAACTTCAATAAATAAATAATACTGAACTTGAAATTACAACTTAAAATACAATTTAAGTACACAACAGTTACCTTGAAGGTTTTATTTATGAATCCCTCTGGAATCTAAAGCAGGTGTTAGCTACTTTTAAAGCTTTCAAATGAGCCATTTTGACTCTCAGTCGAGCTACATGAAACGTGCTGAGAGACCCAAATGTTACATGGCATTTTGAAGGAAAAAAAGGACAAGTTATAATTATAATTTTAGATAAATAGCCAGGATATTTTTGTTATTTTTAACCACCATTTTATTTCTATTTTGAGATTTTAAAATAAAGAAAAACTATACTTTTAGGTCTATAGTTAGGGTAGGCATTTATTGTATTATCATGATTTATTGCCATCAAAATAAAATCCAGTTAATGTTTTAAAAAAAACTGTCTTGTCAGGATTGTTAGTTTTACCATTTTCTCTACTGTTTGTTCAGTGAGAGAATCAATAAATATCCATAATTTTTAAAATATGATTAAATGAAGTTATTGTGAGAAGTCAAATAAAAACCACACATTTCTAAGTGACTGCTGTCCTAAAGAGGCATAACAAATGGTTTGTTTTTCCAAGAGCAGGATTTGTGTCCGTGTGGCTGTTAATGCTGTTTCATGCAGTCACAGCCTAAAACAAGAAGCAATAAATAGTTTGTCACTATCGTTACTTTATAATTACCATTACAATACTACCACAATACATTGGGATAAATGCCATCCCCAGTCTAAAGAGCCCCTGTGGAGCCTCAGGTTGCAGACCCCTGATCTAGAGGGTCACATAAAAACCTGGTCGGACGTAGTCGCTTACCTCTGAGGGTCTTTGCCGTCCTCCGCCTCGTGTTCGGAGCTGCTACCATCTCCTTTGGTTCGGCCGCCCGCTGCCGGGTCCGGCTCGGAGTTGGCGCTCTGCTCGGACGGCTCTGGGGCTCTGGGCAACGGGCCGTCGCCGTCCCGCTCGGCCATAGGGGTGCGGCGTCCCTGGCTCCCCACGCTGCCTATGCTTCCGGTGGTGGAGCGGTGGTGGTGCTCCTCCGCCGCCCCGCCGGCCTTCCTGGCGTCGCTGCACCGCTTCATGGCCTGCAGCTGGGAGAGGGGCACTATGTCGGCCCCCTGGGGCTGGTGCCAGACCGTGCGGCGCCCTGTAGAGTTGTAGTAGTAGAAGCGGCCGCTGTGGGGGTCAAACAGTTCCCACCACTGGTTGCCGTCTGCCTGGCGGACGGGAACGCCGGTAGGGGGATCCCAGCCGCATTCGCCCGTGGTCAGGTTGACATACATGCGCTCGCGGGAGCGAGGCTCCAGGATCTCCACCCAATCAGAGCTGAGGAGGAAAAAATCACAAGAAAAAAGACTTACCAGCTGGTTAAAAAAAAAAAAAAAAAAAAAAAAAAACCCAACACCCACACCACCCCACAACCACCCCCACCCACAAAAAAAAAC